ATTTTGTAAGGAATATTTTTGTTCGTAAACCTACATCCATAAAATATTCAAAAAAACGGTATTTTCATTAGGTATTTTAAAATAACTCTAGATATTTTACTTGAACACAACAAGATGGACGTCGCTTTACATTTATCTTGTGACATATTATTAATATAATCAGTTCATTATTCAAAATTATTAGGTTCAGTAAAAAAAATATGATTTGCCTGAAGGAGAGTCTTCATATTATATTATTTTAAATATTATTTAAAAAAAAAAAAATAATAAACAATTTATAAAAGCTCATTCTGCGAGCGTCAAGCGTGTGAAATTCCTGGTACCCAAAGTATTTTAATACATCAGTCAAATGGAAAAATCGTTTTTAATTAAAAAATGGTATCAGTTATCACTTATCTTTTATTTTTTGACTTAATTCAGAATTATTTTACAAGTAATATTATGGTGTATCAAAAAAAAAAAAATATTTTTTAAATTAATTTACATACCTTCTTTATAAACTCTGGGATTAATTATCTCAAACACAATATTATGAAGGTACATAAAGAAAATTGAATTTGCCATTTTTTAAATTTATTTTACAACAGAAATTACAATAAAAAACAATTTATTCATGACACTGTATTTTATTTTACTCAAAGTAAATAAAGGATCATTCTCGATAATTTGGTTTTAAAATCTTTAGTTATATTTATAAATATAATGACAGACTGTTTTGCATATTTTTTTGATCTGTTTCATACTATTTAAATGAGATTGTTTTTAATTGAAACATTTTTAAATATTTTCTCTTAAATTGCTTTTAATAATATTGTATTATAACAAATGAGAAAGTTAGTAATTACTAATTAGTATGGTTAAAAGTAATACGTGCTTGTGTTTTAAAACTTAATATCATAACCTATGTTAATTTTTACAGAAAAGGCAACTTTTATAACTTGATTAAGTTTATTTTTATACATTTTATTTGTAATTATTTAACAAGCTGAGCATAATTATTACATATATCTTGTATATACTAGTTTTACGACAAAATTCAATCCTCATAAAAAAATGTAAGTATACTAAGTATAAATATTAAATAGTTTCAATAAAAAGACAAAACACGTTTATTTATTAGCTATATACATTTGTTTATTATTATGAACAGTTAAAGTTATAAAAATATTTGCAAAACATATTATATGATGTATAATAATATTATAAAGTATAAATAAATATTTTATAGTCATAAATGTTACCACACGGGTATAGGTACATCATTAAATAAGGATTTATATTATATTGCCTCCTAGGAACCTACCTTCATCAAAGTTTATATCGTGGTGTGGTGAGATATTGTCCTTCATAAGTGCGAATTTGGTTAATAAGATACTTTAAATAGGATACCTGAATCGTAGGAAATAAACATATTGTAACTAGATGCTGATTGCTACAGATCTCATTAAAATAATCTGGGAAAATGGTGTTATGTTCGTAATAATAGCAGGGAATGAAAACTTCAGTATGTTATAAATACTCGTTAGCATAAGTGGTTTATTCTCAAATTCAATTAAATTCATCAATCGTCATTAATCAATAGTTTCATGGAAATTAGTGAAAAAAAAACTATTTTTAGCGTTGATCTTATAATATTTAAATTATGTAGCTAAGCAATAATTTTCAAGGTATTTAACTTTAGTCCTTTATTTAGACCTTAAGTCTCAATTTTAGAATTTTCGATTTAAGAGTATAAACCTGTAACGGTTGACATGGTTTTATAATTAACGGTTGATTGCAAAATAATAATAACATATTTCCAAACTCAAATAATGTCATCAGTTTCTTATAATTAAACGAATAGGTACAATTGGTATATATTTCAATGTAATCTAATAAATAAATTCAATAATTTACAAACTCGAGTAAATATAAATATCTATGAGACTTAAGAGATATACGATTATTCCTTCATACATTAAGTTCACCTCTTTTTAAGTTTTTTTTGGTAAAAGTTCTCATAAGCCACATTTATTTCGAGAGTTACAAAATTAAAACCATTTTCTTATTTAAAAGAACAACACTTAAAAATACAAAACCTTTAATTCCTCTCGAACATACAATTTTTCCTGTAATTTCGATATAATTACTTAAGAAAACATTGAATTCTATATGTTTTTTTTTTAGGTTTTTGGTCTTAACGATTATTGAATAAACGAAAAACATTATTGTTTTATAAATAAAAGAAAAATTTTGATTGTATGTATGTTTTATAATAATAAGTTTACATTTTAGATTCTGAGTGGAGCTTTAGAGTGCAATACTATAATATTGCATATAATTACTGATAACTAGTTTTCAGAAATAATCTTTACCTTAAATAGTTCAATGGAAGTAAAACAAAACACCTTAGGTTGCAAACATTGATACAAAATAAAATAAACTATATAATATTATTATTGCATTGCATTCTTAATAATAAAAATGATGAATATTTTATAGTAAAATTGTTTCATTAAATTGTTCAAAATTATACTATAAAAATGGTTAGAAAATATTTTATTATAAAAAAAAAAATAAAATAAAAATGTAAAACAATTAAAGCAAATTGTATAATTTTTAGTACATAGTATAATTATTAAAATATCAATCGATTATTTTTTATTTCTGCAACTGAAATGATTACCTAACTAGTTTTTATGAACATTGTATGGCAAAGAATTTAAAATTAAATATTCAAGTGTTCGCACCGCATGCCATACACAAATTCACTAATGATAACTTCGTTTTTTTGTGTTTTTATAATTTTAAAAAACAGGGTGGTCTCTATATTTAGATTGATTATTTTTCAAAACTCAAAGTAATCAATGCGATTTGTTTATTTTTGTTTGATTTATTCATAAAAATAAGTACATTTTCATTTAGTAATAGGATCACCTTAGATTGGGTTTTAAGTTTTTTTTTTCAGTTCGGGTACAAAAAAATGAATAAACGAAGATAAATTCAATCAATCCACTCAGTATTGACTATAAAAAAATGTTTATAAAAAAGATTAAAACAAAATATTGAAATTATGACTAAACATACTTGTTATATTATATTGTATCTAAAATAAACATTTATTTAACAATTTTTATTGATTTTTTTAAAATGTTCATTCGAATTGTTAAATTATGGATTATATACGTATTTTTGATACTGAATAATCAACAGTTTTTTATTTCTGAGAATCACATGTTTTAAATATTAGTTTTTAATAACTGAAAACTATTAAATAAAATACAATGATTTTTAAATAAATTATAGTGATTGCTTTCATTTCAAAAAGTTTAAAATAAAAATAATAATTTATATTTCATCATTGTTATAAATTTGAAAACAGTTAAGAATAATTAAGAGCTGTCTTTTTAATGTAAACGACGTACAACTCATCAAATGTGGTATAACAATATACACATAACGTTTTTCTTAAATTAGTAATTATTATTTTATTTATTTTTATTGATCTTAATAGTATGTTTTTTAATCTTGTTGGAGTTTAGTTTGTTACTTGTGTAATATACTGTTTTTATACATCTTCTATGTCATTAAATTATGATTGATTGATAAAAGGAATCCTATTATAAGTTATAGCTGTTTTTGCTTTTTTGTCGGCTATTTTTTGAAATATATAGGACACGGTATGAGGATACAATATAATATTATAAATACAGTTATTTTTTTTAGTTTTAATAGTTCTATTATTTTGCTTCGAATTTTTGATGCGAATTCTCCTGTAATATTATTGCTGTTGCAAACACTATATTAACTTTAGAGTAATTTGCGATTCAATAATTACCTACTGTGAATTTTATATGGCTCTCATCAATTATGATCTGTACTGAATTAAGGATAGCTGGTGCTTCATATTATGTGAAGATCGATCAGTTATTGGGAGTTTGTACACCGTCATTTTACTGGGGAATATCATTGAAAAACCAACTCCGTCGTTGCTCTTAGAAATGCCTGTAGAGAATCCATAGTGGTCTTTATAGTTTTATAATATACTTATAAAGTAACTTATTTTGAATGGGTACCTTTATCAGGAGATTTTGTTTTTTTGGTTACAACGCATAGTTATAGATTAATTTTAATTGGTTAAAACGCATAGTTCTAGGCTTATTTCACAAACAATTTATCATGCAGTATCTGCGATTTATCCTCTCTTTATTTCATTAAGTAAATGTATTTGAATTAAATCTATTAGTATTTTTAGCTCATTGTTTTTGAAGTGGTATGCTTTATTATTGTTTCTAGCTAATTTATACATTATCATATTTAATTTATAAACATATATATACTAAAACAATATAATATTATGTATTGTAAAATGTTATAATATTCCAATATAACTGTAAGGGCACATAAACCATTTCAAAATCCGAGTTAAAATTATTTTTATTAGAATCTCAGCACTGTTCACTGAAAACTTTTGTTATTTAAAATTAGTATCATATATTTTTTGCTTTCTCTCAATTACGGGAAAATATTTGTCTATAACTTATGCACGTTCTACAACTTAATATTTTATAAAAAAATTTAATGAGATTTTTATGTGTAGTATCATGTACTTTATTAAAAGTTTTATTGTACAACAATTATCCCCTAATTACTGTTTAATTCATTTTTATTAATATTAATAATGATTTATTATCATAAAATTTTAATTTTAAGTTTATACTATTGATATAATTAATTTGATAACCACAAAATGCGTTTAGTCAATTTTATTTTTAAAAAGTTAGAGAGTTAAAATATTTACACAGATATTGATTAGTTTTTATTATTATGTATGTTCTATATAATTCTGAATTTTAAATATTTAATGTTCTAGCATATACGCAGATAATAAAATAAAATAATTTGAGGAATTTCATAATAGAATTCAGTTTAGAGTTTGTGTCGATACTGATTTTATCGAAAATGATAAGAAGTGTGTGTTACTTAAAGATAATGTTTAAACCCGACCGTCGGTAGCTTACCTTTCCGTCCGGTTTCCGGAACCCCTCATACACCTTCCATATGAGCTCTGGTCCAGCTGAGCATACAAATTTACCGACCTCGAACAGGTTGAGGATATTGTTTGTGGACAACACCTGTGCGCCCTGGCTGACGGACGACGTGCCCGACTTGAGTTTGGAAAACATTGTGCCGGCAGTTGACGGCACCGATGGCAGACTGCTGCCTCGCCGGAAGTCTGACCAACCTATCTTGTCGGATATTTGGTTGAGCTCAAGAAATGGCCTGACACCGACTTTGAGAAGTTTGTAAAACGTTAGATGCGGGTTGGTGCCAATACGTCTTTGTCACTGAAAAATAAAACAATTGAGACCCATGAATACGATTTGCATTTCGAATATCAATTGATTGATTATAATATCAAAGTTATATCACTCTGTCCAAATATATGTGTACAAACAAATAACGAAAAATCCTTTATTTAGGATTCAGCATCATGTCCCACACTCCTGTCATTATGAGATAAATATTAACATTGTGATCTATTAGTCTTGAAAGAGAGTCTTATAACATATATTATATGGGTAGAATAGCGTAATATAATGAAACAATAGATTGTTCTAAACAGATTGCATCTGATACATAAAGTAATTGTTTATTTTGATGTGGGAATAAAATATCAAACGATATCAAGATTTTAGAGTTGATGTTTATGGTATATATTTGAATTCAACCATGTGGACATAGGACCGTTTTGACTAGCTCAAATTGAAAGTTTAAGAGGCGGATGTGCTGTGTTATACATAGTTGATCCCAGAGATCAAAAAGCAACACAAGTTTGTCTCTGGAATATTCTATATTCAAATATCATTAGCATCTCTAATGTAGGGGAGATGTATTTTCGTAGAGTAATAATCTTGACAATTCAGCATCATTTGTGCACATCTGAAATGAAAACGTGTAGATACATAAACACTGTGAAAGTTTAATTTCCGATTGACATTGGTGACTGCTTGCCTTCGCTTACAATTCATTGCGATTAGTAGTAATATTTATCGATTATTAGGTGCTATCTTTTTAGATTGGGAGATGTATGCATTGGTTTTAAAAAAAGTTTATTAATTTTTTTTTACTCTCGTGGAAAATATTTTAGGTAGAAATAAAGCTAATAATATATTTTAAACTTTAATTCATTTGGAAAAATAATAATTTTCTTACATTAAAAAAAAAACCATTATTTTTAGTTTTTACAATATTTTTATAAAAACGAGGAAAGATTATATATTCTGTTTAATTTTTAAGAAATGTATTAAAACATGTTGTTATTAAGTAGGTTTCACTACTAATCATTTTCCAAGTGTCATGATTTATAATTATTCACAAATATTGAAATATCCTTATCCGAGACAAGTAAATCATTAAATATAGTGAAACTAACTCCAGGTTACTGCATAGTTTACATGTATTTTTGTTAGAAACAATTTTTATAATTTTATTTTGTTCGATATGGAAGTTTCTAAATAAATTTAATATTTTTTTTATATCTTGGAGTGTCACGGGAATTATAAAAGGTTATTATAATAAGTACCAACATAAGTTATATTTATATTTTGTTAAATAAATATATGAAGAATACTTAAAAAAAGTTATATAATGCCTACTTGTTTTTCTATTTCTCAAATTTTATTTTGCAAGGTCCGCCTGTAGAAATACTGATAATTTTACATTCGTCACCACATATATTTTGTTTGTTTAGAATATTAAATTATAAATGTTTAATGTTTGTTAGACTTTTTAAAACTTATACATGATAAAATTGTATCTATTAATATTTATTATTAAAATATCTAAGAATCATTTGATTAACGATTAAAGGAGTAAATAAAATTGGTTTTTGAAAAGTTAAGTATTTGAAAGTTTTTATTTGCATAAAAATGTATTAAAGGTAAAGACTTTGAATAGCTATTCCAAATAACTAAAAAAAGTATTCATAACAAGTCTGTCATATCTCTGAAACGAAGTACCGATGACGAGCTAACAGTGAATGGAAGAAATTACTGGGAAAATTAATTAGTTGAAGTTGGTTCAAATAAGATAAGTCACTTACCTACCAATTGTCTGCAATTATTATAAATGTTGCATATTATATTATATCTTTTTGCAAGAAGATACGTTGATTTCCAAACATTTTTCTTAGAACTACTTACTTTACTATATTTTATCTTTCAACTTGATACGTATACATTTTAAAATGGTTTTACTTTAACCATAGGTAGTGAAACTCTTTAACCATACTGTATATGTTGTTCATAATATTAACATATTAACTTAAATGTTATCTACATTAAATATTCAATAAAAAATCTTTCCTTAATATATTGTTCTTCTGAAATATAATATACATTTTTACAAATTAAATTTATATCGGTAATTAAATATTATTAAATTAATTGCTAACTCTAGTCCATATTTAAAATAATTAGCCTCATTTGAATAAAACACTCGGAAAATTACTATGTATAATATTCACCATCAGTAGTAAGGTACTATAGTTATATTATTAAAAATTTATAAAAAAAATATTACAATTTGTTAGTTTTAGATACCGAAATAATTTAATGTCTGGTTCTGCATATTCCGCGAGTGAAAATTAATGCGCTCTAAGAGTAAGTAGAAAAAGTGAGTAGGTTTTCATAAAAATTAATCTTTATTGATAAGTAAAATGAAATAAAATTGTATAAAGTATTTGCAGAGAAAAAGAATAAATTACAAACTATTATGTATTTTAATAACATTTTACTCGAATTAACTTTATTAAGTTTTTAATATCTAGGTAAACATATAAATTCACTAGATAAATACAGAATATTTTATATTTTATTTAACTACACCGAATCAATGTAGATTAAATATAAAAGCCACTTTACTATTGTTACCTTCCGTTAATGTCGTTAAATTATATTTATACAATTCTAAATGGTTTCTGTATTATACATTATGTCAATTTTTTATTTTTTATTGTATTAAATCTCCGTATTCTGTCTTCTTAATATTTATTATATGATATGTATTTAATATACATTTCTGATCAAATTTGACACTACATAACATTTCTATGAATATCATTAAATCCTGTATTCGGAACATTATTACGGTAACACATATATTGTTACTTATATTTACCTTATGAAACGCGTGTGAATATATATATGTGTCATGTTTATACAAATACAACCTAGAATTCAAAATAAGTTGAGTTTATACAAGTATTCCATTACGATTAGAATTCAATTTCAAAACATTTCTATTCCCAGTTTGTCAGTTCCCAATAGAATATTTGAGTGAACTATCCATGTATTTTATCACTACTACACTGGCTCCATTATAAAAAAAAGTTACTGAAAATAATGAGTGCTCTAAACCAGAAAGTTAATACAATCAATTGTATTTATTTCTGAAATATCATAAGAAACTAACAATTATTTTTAATTAGAGTATTGAAGAAAAGGATTATTTTAGTTCAAGGCACTCATTTTTTTAGTCGATGTATGTTGTTTTTAATTTTTAATTTTGAGAATGTGAAAAATGTTTGTCTTACTACTATACGTGTTTAATATTTCTATTATGTTTATAAATTTAAATAATCAGTATTTATTTTTTTTTTATACATAAATTAATTTGATAAAAAAAGTATTCTGCGTTATAATATTAAATTAAAATATAGGTTTCCTGTATAAAAATACAAAAGAAATATTCCATTAAGAAATAAAAAATAAGCTTTTTTCAATCACTGAATGTTTAATAAAAACAACAACTCAAATATTTTCATTGAGAAAATTACAATCCAACACGTTTCCTAACAATCTTTTTTATATAAACTGAAATATTTTTTTTTCATTTTATAAAAAAACTTATTGTTAAAATTAAAATGTTTTATTGATATCTATTTTTATTATTTTTTTTAATTTCGATTTTGTATAATATTATGTTTAACATTAAATATTATAAAATTAGTTCTAAAATGTTATGTATGGAAGATTTCATACTGCGGTACATACGTATAATATATGTTTTGTGGGACATAATTTATTATATAACAGTCTGATAATGTTTACACGATAAATGTTTTTTTATGAGTGACAAATTGCCGGTCTAAGTGTGTGTGATTTCCCTGCATGTGTACACGGTAAAATAATGATTTCCTAGAGAAGAAGTGCACGTCAAACACGGTGTAATTACCGCGGTGAAAAACAAAAACACGCAATGAAGGAACAAATATATTATCATTATACAACCTAAACTACAGCACCTATCCTGTATGAAAATTAAAGAATTTCTGCACGTTATATTTTTTCATGAATCTCAACTTGTTAGTTTTTCGGTTCGGTAATATTAAATTATGTATCGTCGTTGTAATATTGTTGATCGGTAAAAAAAAATATGTAAAGACTTTAAAAGTTTTCACGCTGTGCACTCCTTTAAATTTATATTGTTTTGTTAAAACCTTTTGGTGTTGAGCCTTGCAGCAGTGGCAATCCCTTTTCACGTAATCTCCAACATTGGTGTGCATATTAACTGAATCCTCACACAAGACACCCCAGCTGTTCTTGGTCACATGACACGCATCCACCATATAAACTTATAATAATATATTATGCGTTAAAATCTTGTTTTGTTTAGTTTGAGTTTTTAACACTTGAAATTTTCATTTTAACAATTATTTTTATTAATATTATTATTGTATGGTCTAATTGAATATTTCGAATGAGAGACGTTGATATACCTATACACCGTGATACATTATTTTTGCCTCAAATTTCAATGAATTCCTGTTAAAAACATGTTAATTAGTGTTTGCAAGTAAAAATACTCGAGGAAATCGCTATAATAGCAAACATGTTTTTGACATATTATTGGTAAAATGTTCTAATTTTGTTTACCATTTATGAAATACTTTTTCAGACAAGAGTTTCAAAAAGTTTCCGTGGTTATACAATATACGTTTATACATTTTTATTTCGAAAAAACTTTTTTGAGGTTATTTTCATAATATGCTGTAGATTATATAATGATATTTTAGATTAAATGTAAAATTAATAATTATTCTATTAATTTCTACCTCTACTATCTCTAGTATATATTTAAAATAATTAGCCCCGTTTGTGAAAAACAATTACTAAATATAATAATTACTATATTAGTAGTAACGCACTAAGGTACTATGGTTAAATTATTAAAAATGTATAAAAAAAAAATATCACAATTAATAATTGTTAGATACCGAAATAATTTAATGATTAGTTTTATATATTCTACGAGTGAAAATAAATGAGTTCTAATAAGTATAAGT